GGGGGTACGTCCTCTTCCATTTTACGATAAGAAGCCTCCTAGTACGTCTTTATGTGCAACGTGGCCATTTTCTCCGTATTTGCGTCGAAAAAAGCACTCTAGCGCCCAAACGGTGCAAGATAGAGTGGAACGGACAAAATTTTCGCCCATAGGGCTCTACTTTCACGAGTTACCCCTGAGAAGCCGGTAAAAAAAATATTTTTTTCCTACTTTTTGGACCAACCCCTATTTCTTTGTTACCCCCTTTCACCCCCTTAGGGGTGGCTGCCAGGGTTTGCACCAGGCGTTTCGTTGTCCAGGAGTGACCCCTAAGATACCCTGAAATTTGCAGACCTCTAGCTCATCTCCTTTCTCTTACACGGACGACGGACGGACGGACACGAGAGCGGTTGCATAAGCCCACTTTAATGCTTTTTTAAAAGCAGAAAGGCGGGCTAAAAATGTGTAATATCGAGGTAATATTACCAGTAACATTGCTAATATTGGTGTAATATTTGAGGTAATATCAGTCCGTGTACGGAGGAATATCGAAGTTGACGACCCCTCGGTCCCTCGGTGAGGCCGTTCTTCCGGCGCGATGAGCAACCCTCCCTCCCCGTGTTCCAGTGCGGCTCTCCACATGACGGCCACTGCAGTGAGTGCGACGCAGAGGACCTGACGTGCAGGACGCTGTGCGGCTGGAACTGCGCCTGCCGCTGCATGGGCTGGCCGACGGGCGGTCTGGACGCGGACTCGCACGACCGGTGGGACAAATGCTACGAGGAGAGGGGCTGCACTCTAAGCAAAAGGGAGGAGTGCCAGAAGAACTGCGGCAGCAGTGAGTCCTGTAAGAACCTGTGCATAATGGACAGGGAGAGGTGCAGCTGTGGCTGCATCCAGCACGCGGCGGCCAGCAGGACCGAATCAGCGCCGGCAGCTACCACCGCTACCAGCACCAGACACCACCATTAAAACACGAGTAGTCACAGTGCGACAGTACATATTGTTTGGAGTTGTTGTTACTACATTTAATTTTCATTGACCTCTTTATCGCGTTCGACGCACGCTTGAT